AAATGCGAAGTTTAGCTAAGGATAGGAAAAAGTGGAGGTACGTGTCCAACCAGTTTTAGGACTGACGACCCTATGATGATGATGAGGGAACATATCTTTTTCTGGATAAAAAGTACCTTCTGCCCTTTATGTCCTCCTGACAATTTGTGTCCAAAATTCCATGATGATCTGTTGAATAATTAAGGCGTGAAGCAACAATAAACAAACGAATTCATATTGGCTTTTATAGGACTAGTTAGGATAGACATTTTCTATATCTAGGAGGTCAGATAAGTTAGAATAAAAAAGAATGGAATGAACCTGAGAGTCAAATCTTGCTAGAAATTTTGAAAAAAAAAAGACTATAAAAGTGTATTTAGAACACGGCTTTCTGCCATATCATTGCTTTCTACATTAGCAACTAACTACACAATCTCTGGTATCTAAGCTTAAAATAGTGGTATTGAGAAGTCCCTAGTCCCCAGACAATTTTTAAAGTCAGTACTTGACATTTACCTACACGCAACCCTTAATTAAGTATCACGAAATTACCTGAAAATAAATATTTTCCTTTTTTCCGAACTTAGGTAGTTATTTCTAAAATTTTATATAAGTGTAAATAAAATAAATAGGTTTAATTTAATAGATATCCCAGTGAACTATTACTTTGATCGATAACCTTTGACATCGACGATGAAGTGCGCTCTTATTAAAATGAAAATTGCGAAATCCAAAGGGGACAGTACGATATACACTAATTGACTCATGAATCCAAAAACTGAACAATTGGAACTTCGAAATGTAACTCTTATCTTTTGTCTGTATTATCGCTAAAAATTGAGGATTATTGTACACCTGTGATTTTATTGTTTTCCTTCAAGGATGTCTAATCCACTTTACAATAACGTACGTGTACTAGGTGCGTAAATATTGAGCAGACAAAATGTAAATAAATTTCCACATTCTGCAGTTCAATAACACAGTACAATATGTCCTTAATAACATAAAAGTAACGAAATTATTAACTTTTTAAACAAACTATACGTATATGTAAATGCAATATGTTTTTACAGTTCTTTTAAAAAGTTTGGTAGATATTACACACTTTTATAATAAGTGGATGAAAATTTGAAAAATTAATTTAATTAAAGTATCAGACTTAAGCAAAGGTAGGTATTAATA